GCGATTTTGATTGCCTTTTGCTTGACACCATATGAGCTTTGGATTTTGATGATGATCCATATTTTGGTAGAGGAAAAGATGATTGTGATGGCACTGGTGATCCACATGTCAACCTTGTATGACCACTTTCCTTGCACCGACTACATGTCGATCTCTTCTTCTCTTCACCCTTAGACGGTATACGATCGTGACTTTTTGGTCGGCCAGGTAGCCTTCTGTCCATGGCTAGTTGCAAAACTGTTTGTAAGTCATCTGATATGTCCCACTCAGAAGGATGTGGAATAGGGTAGATAATCTCGGCATAAGTCAGTCGATATACTTCTGTAGTGTAGCAATCCATAGCATATGCGCTTGAATCATCTTAGTTTAGATGAAGAGCAACTTTTATAACATGGCCACACGGATAACCATATGTTTGCCATTTCATACAACTACACGTCTTTGCATTTAGATCGACAAGCCCATTTAAGTTATTATCCAGTACTTCAAACAAAGTGTTTGAACATGGTTCAACTCTCCATGACGTTGACTTCACAACATGTTTCGTTATCTTTTTTTCAGTCCATGGTGTAACACGATGTTCCAATGTTCCTGTAAATTTAAATAAATAATACTTAGTAAAATATATGATAAGTTACGAATTTAAAGAAATAATACATGCATGGTTTCTTTTCTTGTAGTACTACTGTTGAATAGAGCCTCGAAAAAACTCCATTAACATAGTAATGGGTAATTTCCGGGAATGACGACTTAGAGCGTTGATTGATTCTGCACTATTAGACGTCATGAAACCATATCTTGCTGCAAGTTGATGTACTCTTGACCATCTTTCAAACCCGAAATCTTCTAGTGTTTGAGCACACTGAGGCAAAACACGTCTTAAACAATTTATATACTTATTAAAATCCACTTCCCGATAAGCTTTTACAGCCTTCCAGTATGTCCATTTGTGATTTTTTATACCAGCAGACCTTGATTTTAGATTTCTATATAAATGAACACCACAAAGTCCATGAAAAGCATCTGGGAAACACCTTCTAACAGTGTTGTCAATTGAGTTTGCCCTAACGGATATGATTTTCAGATTGCTAATAGGACCTATGCAATCCCTAAGATGCCCCATAAACCATATCCATGAATCAGAGGTTTCAGATTTGCCAACCCCGTAAGCTATTGGCAATATCCCATTGTTAGCATCCATGGCTACTGCTAATAAGTTTACTACAAGGTATCGACCTTTTAAATGTGCTCTGTCAACTATAATAACTGGGCGCATGCAAGTAATAAACGAACGAATCTACAAAATCATATACACAAGAAATATAATCATTTAAATGTGAAATGCATATAACTAACAAAAATGAGTCAACAAAATTATATTGATTTACTAACCGCAGCACCAATGGCGATAAACAGCAACTCAAAGCGTCCATCTCTATCTGTTTTGATATGAGTTACCGACCCAGGATTTTTCAGCTTTAAATTGTGACAATAAGCCGGCAGTTGGGCAAACGATGCTTCTGGCGACCCCCTTAACAATTCCAAGGCATAACATTTGGCTCTCCAAGCTTGAGAATATGAGATACTAATCTTGAACCGAGCATTCATGTCAGTCATAATTTCATGTCCCCGATATACCCTGCCATTCAAAAACATTAACTCAGCCAGAAAACCACCCAACACCTTTTTGTTTGCCTGTCTATGGTGAGGAAAAACTTGGGTTCTTGAACATGTATGTTTATCAATAAAAGTCCTAACTTGAAACATTTCGCAATCTTTTATCCTCTTTGCAATCATACGCCACGTACAGTTTTTGTCAATCATACACATTGTTTCGAAATGATCTTTGCTTGATTTGTTAACTTTTAGTTGATAGCCATCTTCCACACATTTCGTATACAAAGCTATATTCAAGTCTTCCTTTGTATCAAAACAATCATCTTTCTTGATACGAATAATTTTTGTGTAACAATCAACTGCTATTTTTACCAACTCTTCTTCCGGTATCTGAAGTAATTCTGGCATATTCCAGTTATACTCCCGTGGCATTTTCTTCGGGGACTTTTCTTCGGGGATTTCTTTTTCTTCTTTTTCTTCATCAGGGTTATATGAATTACAGAATGGATGTTCAACATGTTCATTCACAGTCGTAACTTCCTCCTCATTATCATCAACAACATCTTCCTCGGCAGCGGCTGTTTCATCATCAAAATTCGGGTATTGATCAATATCAAAATCATTACACGCAGGGTCTGTTTCTTCTTCTGAAACATCATCAAAATCCGAGTATTGACCAAGATCAAAGTCCGGGTATTGACCAAGATCAAATTTCAAATACCGACTAGTACTCACAATTTTTTCTGTTAGCTCATCATCGTCTAACTGGTTAATACGAAAACCGAAATTTGGTGCTGAAAGTTGATTGTGATTTGGATTAGGGAAAGGTTGTGGGTTTTGAGATTGTGTTTGGTATTGGAAATGTGGTGAAACAAAATTTGCTTGGTGATGAAATTGTGGTGGAACCATTAAATTTTGAGCACCATAAACTGGGGTTGAAAAACTTAGTTGATTACTACCCGCTACTGACCCAACTTCACTACTTCTAGGTTCAACAACATACAATGTAACATCATATTGCGAAACACTAATGTAAGTAATGAATCGTTCAACATCTTCATTGTCGGTTAACAAATAAACTTTACCTTTTCTCTGATAAGATAGCCTAAATCCACTTAAGGGTTCTAAATTCAATTTATTTGCAACACATAACATTAGAGTTTTATAAGTTAACTTTTTTAATGACAGTTTTAGTTGAAGATTCATGGGTAAAAGCATATATTGTAAAACACCATGAACATTCTCCCATGACCCTCCAAAACACAAATCTATCCAAACATGATCAACATTAGATGATTTCATTATTGTAAATTAATTTACTAAACAAACGAGCTGCGAAACTAAAACATGTTGCCGGATGGGGAAGGATGTCGTTGGATATAAGAACGGATGTCGTCGGAGAGAGTGATAGATGGAGATGGAATGAGTTGCGATTTACGAATTTAGGTTATGAGTTGCTTCTGTTGCGTAGTTATATACTCAAAACATTTGTGTTGCGAAACTAAAACCTGTTGCGAATTTGAAATTCAGCATTGCGACAGTCAGAATCGCGTTGCGATAGTCATAATCGCATTGCGATTTACATATTCGCGTTGCGATAGTCATACTCGCATTGCGATTTACATATTCGCATTGCGATAGTCGGAAAATTGCAACGCGAATTTGGAAAATCGCAATGCGATAGTCAGAATCGCGTTGCGAATCTGGAAACTGATTTGCGATACCGGAGATCGCGTTGCGAATTATCGATCGCATTACGATTTAGTTGGTCATTTTGGCAAATCAAAAAAAAGTTGGTTAAAATCGTATATTATAAGACATTTTTGATCACTGAGATTATTTTCTCTTATTTTAATGTAATTAATATTTAAGATAATGCGTATACGAGTGAATAATATTTATTTTTACCGTGAACTATATAACTTGTACAGATAATAAAAAAAGATATGTAATATGTAAAATATTAATCGAAATAAAATAGTTTAAATTGTAATTCAAAAGACTTAAATAAATAGATATAAATTTAATATATATAAATAAAATCAAATAATATAATTTAAATTGTGCTTCATACCAACTGACTCAAACCATTTAAATTGATATTAATACATGTAATTTACTTATTCAGCTGACGTGATCTTAATACTTAACGGATTGTTATTACTTTTAAAGATTTTGATTTGAGCATAACGTCAATAAAAGTATTGGATTTAAGCACAACGTCTATAAGAATATTGGAATGTTCATTATTAAACGATAAAAAATATTTTGAACCGTACAATGACTTAGTACTAATATAAACTGAATTTTAAAAAGAGAAAACTAAGTTAGAAATGGAATGAGGGGGTTTGGAGAACACGTGTCCGTAAAATAGGGCGTGGCCGTTGGGGGAATTGAGACTGTAAAATGCTCTGCTAAAAATACAATAAGAAAGTTGTTTGTTTGAACTTTGAAGCAGTCTTTTAGCTCCTATTTTTACCCTCGACACGCGCCATTGCGAGTGGACTTTCAGATTACATGAACTCAATTTTCCCCAAAAATATTATTTTTTATTAAAAACACTATACTTGATCATTTTTAGGACAGATTAAACAAGTGAATAAAATTTACTTACACCCATCACTTGATTTAAATTAAAATTCATAAATTTCTTTTATAAAAAATAAAAACTATATATATATATTGGTTTTTAAAAGAGGAAATTTGTTAAAATTATTTTTAAAAATGATTACGTAAAAAATATATACTGTGATTTTTATTTCATTAATGAAATTTAAATTTTTTGTTATTAATATTAAAAACGCATGTTAACTAATCTCGCCAAAGAAAAAAATATTGAATATAAATAAAATAAAATAGAATAAAAGGTATAATGACAATGGATATTCTTAATGCTTGACTAGATAGTTATTTTTGCCTCCACTAATTTTTGGGAGCGTTTTGGTCCCAATATTTTATTTTGGGACAAAAATATTCTTATTTGAATGAAAATTGGTAGTATACAAATAATTAATGCTTCAATATAGAAACTTTTTTGCAGTAAACGAAATGTTAAGAACAATATGCTTAGAAAGTAAGGGCTAAAGTGATTATTTAGTTAAATGTTAGGTGGCTTTTTACCCTAAAATACAATATTAAAGATTAAAATACTCTAAAAATTAAATAGAGATGAAAATAATTATGTAATCATATATTAAGGATATTTTCTGATATTATACCAAAATAGAATAAACAAATAAGCAAAGATGAAGCAGCAGGTTAAGACGCTCTGAAAAGGAGCGTAGGATAACGCACGGGTGCGTTGCATTTCCTTATAGTTGAACGTCCCAAACAGCTCTCCTTGCGTGCATGCAGAAATCTCATATTTTTTCTTTCCCAAAATCCTCGTCATTAATCACTCTCTAAATAACAGAAAAGGAAGTAAGTGAAATACATTTGCAGTTTCTCTACTACTGGGAATTACGATTAATCACCATGTCTGTTCAATCGGCGGTTACGGTGGCGGCCTCGCCGGCTTCATTGTACGTTGGAGACTTGCACCCCGACGTCTCCGACGCTAATCTCATCGAAGCTTTCTCGGAGTTCAAGAGCTTGGCCTCTGTTCATGTCTGTAGGGATTCTTCTACGGGGAGATCTCTTTGTTATGGCTATGTCAATTTCATTTCTCCTCAGGATGGTATGACAGATTTCTTATCTTCTTTTTTGAAGAGTTCTGTTTGGCATTGGGATGATGTAAAATATTTAGGGTTCGGAATTTTGGCTTTTGGTCTCGTTTGTTCTTCGATAAACTTTCTGTTTGATAGATTTCGAAAGCTCTATCGAGATCCATGTTTAATGTTTGTCTTAGTTTCGATCGATGAAAATACACTAATACTCTAAACTAAGAGTAAAGTTTCAGTGTAACAATCTTTCCGTTACTCTCACATGATTCAACTCAAGAGCGCTTGTTTTCTGGTATTGGAATTATGTCTTATTTTCATTGATTTTGTTAAACCTTGGTTTGATTTATTAAAATTGATCATTTATCTTCTTCCATTACTGTGTTGGTATGTTTGGCTTTGGATGTTTATTCTCTTGGTTGAACTTTTTTATATACATGCTTCGTCTTTAAAATCTTCTGTTTTGTTCTTCTGATTTGACTAGCACAACATGCTATTGAGGCCAAAAATCATACTTTGCTGAATGGGAAAATGATAAGGGTGATGTGGTCGCTTCGAGATCCTGATGCAAGAAAAAATGGGGTTGGAAATGTGTTCGTTAAGGTTCAAATCTTCCCATTCCCTTTAATAGATATGTTAATTAAGAATTCCTTTTGTTTTTGTTTTGTTTTCCCTTCACTGGAATTTTGAATGTGAAATGCATTTGGTGTATCTGTTCATATCAGAATCTGAGTGATTCAATTGATAATGTGGGGCTCCAAGAGTTGTTCCGACAGTTTGGAAATGTAATATCTTGCAAAGTTGCAACCTTTGAAGATGGGAAGAGCAAAGGTTATGGCTTTGTTCAGTATGAGTCAGAGGGATCTGCAAATGCTGCTATCGAGAAGCTTAATGACACCGTTGTTGGGGACAAGCAGATGTATGAAAATTCTTAACCGACTTTCCATGTTTTGATTCTCGGCTCTGGAAATTTAATCATTTCTCTTTGGCACAGATATGTTGGGAAATTTATGAAAAAGAGTGATCGGGTCTTGCCAAGCCCTGATGTCAAATATACAAATTTGTATATCAAGGATTTAGATTCGGATATCACAGAAGACACTTTGCAAGAGAAATTTTCGGAGTTCGGGAAAATCGTTAGCCTGGTTGTAGCAAGGGATGAAAATGGAGCCTCGAGAGGTTTTGGCTTTGTGAACTTTGAAAATCCAGATGATGCTAAGAAAGCCATGGAAGTGATGAACGGATCACAATTCGGTTGTTTTTTCTATCCCCTTTTTTAGCCTTAATTGATTTCAGTAACTAACTCATACACTGATTTTGGCCTTTGGTTACATTTGTATTGAGTAGGCTCAAAGGTTATATATGTAGCAAGGGCACAGAAGAAAGCAGAACGGGAGCAAATACTGCATCATCAGTTCGAGGAAAGGCGAAAAGAGCAGATCATGAAGTATAAAGTATGCCTGATCTCGTTTCTGGACCCGATGTAATTCATTATCTGTTTATGCCATTTACCATATTTTTGTATTTGTATCCACATTTCAGGCTTCGAATGTTTATGTGAAGAATATTGATGATGAAGTGACTGATGAAGAGCTGAGAGAACACTTCAGTCAGTGTGGAACCATTACTTCTGCAAAACTTATGCGAGACAACAAAGGACTAAGCAAGGGGTTTGGATTTGTCTGTTTTTCTTCTCCCGAAGAGGCTGCTAAAGCTGTTAACACATTTCATGGTATGTTATTGAGTCTTTAATCGTGGAAACTCGATCGAATTTACCTTAAATAGTCACTTGAACCTTGCATCTCAAGTTATCGGTACATTTTTGAAGTTGTTGGTGATATCACTCTCTTATTTTAAGGATACATGTTTCACCACAAGCCATTGTATGTCGCTATTGCTCAAAGGAAGGAGGATAGACAAGCGCACTTGCAGCTTCAGTATGCACAGCGAATGGCTGGACTAGCAGGACCTTCCACAGCTATTTTCCCTGGTGGATATCCTCCAGTTTACTACACAGCCCCGGGTGTTCTTTCACAAGTACCTCCACGGCCGGGGGTGATGTACCAACCTTTAGGTTTGAGGCCAGGACGAAGGGTCAATGGTTTTGCACCGCCAACCAGACCAGCCTTTCAACCACCATCATTGCCTATGGTATTTATTCATCCTCAATTCATTTCATTGGCACGTACCAGTTTAATGAGTATATTAGTGGTTCAATCTACTATTCCGAACTTTATGCTGTAGGTTACTGGAAATCCAAGACAAATTAGGCAAAACCGGGGTCGAATGAATGGACATACTCTTCCGCAGGGTGCTTCTCACTCTGTCACATATGTGCCACAACTGCAACCACCAAATCAAACTACGACTTCTTCCAAGGATCAAAGTAACCTACAGGTTGTTTTTCTTTCCTTTTCCTTGAATATGCACATGTTCAAGTATCTGATACCTTTGTTCACCTCACGTGCACGAACATATACACTGCTATACATGTTCAAGCTATATATCAAGATATCTGATCCCTTCGAACTACATTTGCAGAGGGGTGGGCAAGCTAAGTATGTACCAAATGGACGTGCACGAGAGGTGAACAAAGGGTCTAGAGTCCCACAGTCGGCTTCAAATTCCGTTGCAGCCATATCACAAGGATCTGAGATGCTTAGTAGCATGCTTGCTGCTGCTTCCCCTGAGCAGCAAAAGACTATACTTGGTGAACGACTCTACCCTCTTGTTCAGAAACACCAGGTGATTCCGGATTTCTTTTATACCATAGGGTTGATCTTTTAATACCCTTAGTTACTATGTACATATACATATACATATATGTATAAGTATATGTATACATATATATACATATACGTATATATATACACACGTATATGTATACGTATACGTATACATATACGTATACGTATACGTATACATATACATATACATATACATATACATATACATATACATATAATTTGATCTGCGCATTGTTGTTGCAGCCTGATCTGGTCCCGAAAATCACAGGGATGCTGTTAGAGATGGACAATGCAGAACTGCTACTTTTATTAGAGTCTCCAGAATCTTTGGCTGCTAAAGTGGAGGAAGCTGTGGAGGTTCTCAAGCTCTCAAATGCTAAAGTATCTGGTCAAGATGTTATTCACCCCAGTTTCCTCTCTGCCGAAGTTACTGTCAACTGAAACCTTAATAAAAGGGCGGCGCACTCAAAAATAAACAACCATTAGATTTATTGATTTTCAAATATTTCAGTAGAGAACCTCTTCTCTTTATGAAAATCTTTCAGTTTAGTTTTATTTTTTTTATCATTACAGTACTTCTCTCTTTCTTTAGTTTTTCTTGTAGGGATGGTTTTAGTTGCTGCTTTGAACATCTTATCATTTTAACGGACTTTTGCCATGTCTGTGAAAAATGTTCTTCTTATCATTTTGATACTGCATGATTTCATCATATGGAGGGTGTTTGTTATCTGCATGACTCAATACTTCCATCTCCATTCATACAACATCTGCATAGTATATAGTGAAAAAAAAATCTAGAAAGTAGAAACTTTGGTTATGGATTACATCCTGCATGCGCTAGTGTGTAGACACATCCACGAATGGGACAAAGAGGGCGTTGGTTGGCAATTACTGGCATTGCAACCATTTGATCGATCTCCCACACCTATCCACGCCTTCGAAATACAAATAAAGAACCTCTAGAGCCCTTTCCTAGTCTGATCGTCTCGTCAATGTACATGATCTGCAACTTGACCTCACTCTGACCACCATACTGGAAGTCCATTGCTCTGACCGTCAGTTCAGGCGGCTCAAAAATTACTTGAATCCATTGCTTGTCCAGGACCTTCAGCTTTCCTGCACAAATCATGAATCAATATGTATCGGCGGAGTAGACATCCACAGTTTTGCATCGAATAAATCGATTAGGATTTTAGTTTGGCCACATGATTTGTGCCAAAATGAGAATGCCACGTTTTCAGTCTCTTTGAAATTAGTTTTGGCCATGCTAGCTTTAGGCAAGTTTATGCAAATTAATTTGAAACGCATCAAAGGTGAAAAACCAGTGTCCTCAAAATAGCCAAAGAATGGCTTGGGAATGAAAATACTATCAAGAGACGACAATTCATGTGGCTGCAAGTTTGAACAGAAACAAGCTTATGGTGATAATTGATAAATAGTAATCACTAGTAAATAATGACCTTTCAAGGAGACTTGTCCATCAAGGAACCCAGAAACAGAGAAGGAGAACTTGTTTCAGACGGAATCAGGAGCTTCAACAGTCTGAACCATTTCCTTGGTCTTGAAGAAGAGGCGCCCAAATGCACTTCTATAGCCGCCTCCTGGTGAGGTAGGATTCGAACAGTAAACCACATCCCAATCTGGGAAGTAAAAACACAAAAACCCCATGATTAAAGTTGTTTGAATTTGGTATTGGTCCAAAGCAGGGAATTTAAATAGTTGTTGGAATAGCTAGGGGCCGTTATATATCGTTATTTCACAACGGTGATACCCTTAATGACCATAATAGCACCCACTGTTATTGTAATGGCGATAAACACAATGCAATTGAAAATGGGACAACAAACTCAATTTATATCCCTGGTCCACATATTGAAGTAAGTACCTCCGAAGATTAAAGGGCATTTTCCTGGTTCATCAACGCAATATTTGTGCAATTCATTAGCTACTTGAGCGACCTCTTGGTGCTGGTTTGGGGTGAGTGTACACCATCCGTTTGCGTCACCTAAGCCACAATTCAGTTCAATTCAAAACTCAAGATGAAAGAAGTAAATAATAATAAATAATTGATAGAACTAAAAAAAAACTAGAAAGAAAAGACCTTGGAGAGAATAGAAGCCACGAGATCATCGGGGCGACTGGAGATGGAAATGGCACTTGAAGAAACCCTGAAAGTCTGGGAATTGAGGGGAAATGAAGTGTGGATTTAGGATAGATTAAAGGGTTTTGATGCAAAGAATGAGGGTTTGGGGCGGGTGAAGGAGGATGATAGAGCGAAGGAAGAAGCTGCTGCCATGGACGGATGATACGAATTACTCCGCAGGCAGATGATTTTCAACATGAGATGATAATAGAAGAGAAGAGATGTGGGTGGCTTTGAATCATCAGTCGAATTCCCAAATCTAAAAAGGCCTCATCCCCCATGTGGCTGTTAAGAACTGGATTCCATGCTCACCTATGCATATATTTGTGTTTGGCATTATCCATCTCTTATGTATGTTTATTTCAATGTAGCTAGTTTTTCTGAAAAATAGTTGGGGAAAATAAATGACACAATACAATAAAATAACATTAACGTTTAATAGTATTGTTAAATTTGTTCGTATTATTTTTTTAAATATTTGACCACTTAATGTTTATTTTTAGGTAAAAAATAACCAATGTTGGATAGAAATCGTTAGTCAATTAACTGTTAACGACTTATGTTGACCAAGTACGTGGAGGGAGATGTTGATGAAGTTATCCAGATCATGGTGCATGATGACATGACATTGCCACTTCAGAATTTAAAAATAAATATAAAATACTATTATGAAAACTCTTTGGTCCTCCAGAATGCTCCTAAGTACATCATCTAACGAATCCCAGAAGCAACATTTCTCCCCCTCCCCTAGGCCAACGTGTGGGGCGTACACTGAAATGACATTCACCACTTCCTCTTCTATAATAACCTTAATCATCATGATCCTATCACGATATCTATAAACTTCAACTACATTTTCCTTGAGTCTAGAGGATACTAAGATACCCACCCCATTTCTAGTGTTATCTACGCCTGAATACCACAACTTGTACCCGTTACACTCTCTGGCACGAGCCCCTTTCCACCTAGTCTCTTGAATACATGCAAAATCTATTTTCCTATTACTTAGTATGTCGGTCAGCTCCAGTACCCTAGCATTTAATGTGCCTACATTCAACGTACAAACTCTAAGTCTAGTCTCCTTGACATCACTATATCGAGCCCGCCCCCTATACGCCCTATGGGATCTAAAAGAAGGATATGAGCTCAAGTAATCATCTATAGCCGAAGCTATGAGGAACTATGAAAAAGGAATCCAAAGAAGATAGAAGATGCACTAATAAAACGTTAGAGAATTTATGGGTACTAAGAAGCCTAGTTGGTTACTTAATAGGATTTTAATTTATAAAATACTATTGTTATTATTATTGCTAAAAGCCTAGTGTTAAAAGGGAAGGAAAAAGGTCTAAGTAAACAAGTAGATATTTTGAAGCTTAAACAGTCCAGGTAAATATTAAAAATGACTTATTGTCACTAAAGAATCAAATCGAGAGCTCTAATCAGAAACAAAAACAAGTAATTTCATGTTTTCTTGTACTGAAACTAGTCTAAAAACAAAATATCAATATAAACAAGTAGTATTTTCAAGCTTAAACAGTAAAACTAAACGTAGGAAAAAACACTCAACTGCAGTTTTGTTCCTCCAACAAATTTAAATACAAGAGGAACGGGAAAAAGGAAGAACAGTACCCAGAAGCAAAAACAAAAAAAAATTGAACCTTAAATCACAAAATGAAACACACCCAGATCTTAATTTTGAAAGAAAAGTATAGGAAAATGGGAAAGATAGAAGATCTGATGAAAAAGAACAAGTTTTAAAGAGTGTCAAAGGAAAGATATGAAAGAGTGTCAAAGAAGAATCAGACCTATATTTCAAAGAAAAACTAATGATTCACTAAAGAAAAATGCAGCTATAATAAGATCTGGAAAAATTGCAGAAAAACTAACAAATAGAAGCATATAGAAACAACGCAAACAAGGTATGCAACTAGATATTTTCAAAATTATAGTTAGAAACATTCAGATCTAGTCAAAATAATGTGCTGGATAGATAATAAAAGAAATAAGGAAGCAAAATAGAATTAGATCTGCTACGAATAAAGAAAATTAAATTTACCAGAAACAAAACTGACAGAGATCTGAAAGAGTAATAAACATGCAGAAACTGGTATTCGGTTTTTCCATTGTGTTTCAATATTCAATAGTTTGACAGGTTTATCCGCTATGCAACCTTTGGTGGTTTTGATCTTGACATTTTAGGTCAATTTTGAAACTACGTTCGTGTGGGAAATAACCCGATTTCCCCAACAATTGGCATCAGAGCTTCGGTTGAGGTTATCCTGGTGGTTCCGTTGCTGAAAAGATACAATTTGTGATATTGAATATTGTTCGTTAGAATTAAAATGCCAAAATACGGATCAGTTGAGACATTAAGCTCTTCATCTGGACCGATGAGGATGGTGATGTCAAATGTAAATTTCTCGGTGGAGTTGTTCGATGGATCTGATCATTTTGGTATGTGGCAAGGCGAGGTGTTAGACGCTTTATTCCAACAAGGTCTATACATCGCCATTGAGGAAGAAAAGCCTGAATATGTGGAGGAGAAATAATGGGTAACAATAAATCATTTGGCGTGCAGCATGATTCGATATTGTCTTTTCAGGGAGCAGAAGTATGGCTATAAGAACGAGACTGCTGCAAGTAAGATGTGGAAAGCATTGGAGGATAAATTCCTAAACAAAAGCTCTCAGAATCGTATCCACATGAAGAAAAGATTGTTCAGATTTGATTATCAACCAGACACCAATATGAATGAACACATCACTGCGTTCAATGAGCTAGTGGAAGACTTATTGGGCATGGATGAAACCTTCAAAGATGAAGATTTGGCCTTGATGTTGTTGTCATCTCTTCCAGATGAATTTGAACACCTTGAGACAACGTTACTTCATGGTAAGGATAATATTACCCTAAAAGATATAACTGTTGCTTTGTATAGTTATGAGCTCAGGAAGAAAACCAAGAAGGAGAGAAAGTACGAAGCAGCGGAGGCCATGGTCGCAAGAGGTCGCTCAAAAAGTCAAAAGCCAAAGTGGAGAGGGAGATCAAAGTCGAAGTCCAGACTGGGAAAAGATGAATGTGCCTTTTATCATGAGAAAGGCCATTGGAAGAAAGATTGTCCGAAGTTTAAGAAGAAAGGAAACGATGCTCTAGATGTATGTGTTGTAGAGCATGATGCAAATGACTCTGACATATCATTGGTTGCTTCATCAACAACATTACATTCAGATGAATGGATATTAGATTCGGGTTACATCTATCATATGTCCCCTAATCGGGAGTGGTTCTCCGATTTAGTAGAACTAAATGCATGAGTTGTTTATATGGGAAATGACAATGCCTGTAAAACTGTTAGGATATGTT